GTCCTCTTTTGGAAGGCCAAACAAAGTAGTTTCGCTTTCACAACTAAACACACGGTGGGCTAGAGTGAGCGGAGGCCAGCGGGCTTGAGAACGGCGTGGCAGGCGGGCTTGCGGCAACCACATGCTGGACTCCGCTTTGTCCACGGTGAAAGCCGATCCGGCGATCCACAGCGCGAAGTTGATGTATTTCCTCAGCGATCAGCACAGATCAGCTCCAGGCATGACGAAGCGGATATCTACCTTTTTTGGAAGGCCAAACAAAGTAGTTTCGCTTTCGCAACGAAACACACAGCGCCTTTACGGCATGGCGGCAGCAACAACAATACTACAGCGAGAATAAAAGTCACGCCTTCTTTCTTTGCGTGAACATTTGGGCGGCGTTATGCAAATCTTCCCACATCGTGACGTAGACATGTGGGGGCGTGTTAGAACGAGCCGTTTTAGGTAGGCGTGGTTGACTCTTAAATTTTATAAAGAATATCTCTTTGGATTTGAGACTTTAGTCTTTGCAACTTTACAGATTTTCTTTATGCACCAAGAGCTTGTAACACTCCAAAGGGAAAAGAAAAATTGAAATCGCATCATATGACCCCTTTAATTTTAACTTAATAGATTGTTTTTGTAGGAGGGACAACTTCACCTTGAAAATTAAGTTAATATTGTATTGTTACAAATATTTTAACACATAGTTTAAAAATAGTATAGAAATTTATATAAATATAAATTTTACATTTCTCAGCAAATTCATTCAGGTACAAATGATCTGAGCTTTGCTAGCTAAATTCGTTTAATAACTCTGTATTATTACTTTTTAAACTTTGCCTTACTAACATATTGATAAATTGAATCATTTAATTTTTCAATAAGCACATGACTTGTATTACACATCTAAATAGATAATATTTGCCATATGTACATTCTTTGCAATACCAGATAAGGATGAGTTTCTGTTTTTCTACCTTAAGAAATTTTAAGATAGATGTCTGTGACAAAGTTGACATTTAAAAAAAAAAAATAGAGAATTCCATTAAGTCTTCTGAGCTTGAAAGAGGAAACACTGAGCCATTACATTTCTGTGTATGTACTGCTACACTGTATGGCCCTCGACCCTTGCTTTCTGGGAGTCAAAGGGGGGGAAGATCATCAATTAATAAAAACAAACATAAAATGTGTCTGCAGAAATGCACTGGATGTATATAACCGACGATACATTTTTCTTGTGTTTGTACAAACTGGGATACAAAATGTAGCATTTTGATGCCCTGCAAAAGAGCAGATTTATTTGCATACTAGTACAAACAATGCCCATGCTGTTTCAGGTGAGCTTATAAAAAGTCGACTTTATTCAATTGCACTCCCACTTTTTATTCTTTTTGAAACCATGAACCGTCTGCTGTGGTTGACAGGCATGTAATAAAAAGGTTAATCGTTGCATCTTTGCTGTGGGCTATTACAATGCTACCGCTGTGAGACATCAGAGCGACGGGCGCTCAGACAAATGCAAGAGTAATCAACATGATGGATGGAAGAAAACCATGTCCCTCCTTCCTTCAGTCATGTTTTCTTTCAATTATCTCTTCTTTTTCTGCTTAACCACACATAAAAACAAAGGCCCTTTTCTATCTCTTTGCAACAGTGAGATAGTGGCCATCACGTCCGCATTCATTCAGAAGGGGATTAGCCACGGCCTTGGTTATTTGTATTCGTGGAGCATCGGCTCGAGATGGCAGGACAGGGAGCAAGACGTGGGTAATGGGAATTGTCTAGCTCGTGCCACCTCACAGCAAGCTTCACACTTTGAACTCAACTCCTCAAGGCAGACTAGAGCAGGGTCGTTCAAGCTGCCAAAGAGAACACCTGAAATTAAACACCTTGTTTGTATGCTCCACTGCTACTCTGGAGGAAATCGGCAATAACTCTCTGCATTTCTTCCTGTCTCTAAAAATGAGGCAAAATGTTGCTGTGTAGCCAATTTAATGGCAATAAATAGTTTATTTTCTTTCCCATTACAGTAACATAAATTAACATAAACATAGGAGCCTGAGAAAATAACCATTTTATTTCATTTTAGATAAAAACAAAGCAAATTTATTTCACAAAAATGGTTGACACACATGTACCGCCCCACTTTACTTAACATACAAGTTGTAAGAATATGACTAATACTGATGAATAAACAGCCTATAAGTTAAGGCTATTAAATATGCAGTCTCAAACTAGTTTTTGTTAATACAATTAGGTTAGTATGAGCCACTGCAGTCATTTAAACATAACAAAATAACACACAGTGAAAATATCATGGTATTTTTGCGTTATGGAAACAACAGTTACCGTAGTGAATACACAATACTAACAAGAACTGTTATGAAATGAAACATGGAAACTGCTGCTGAATAGAATGAATATCATATATGCAAATCCTTCCCAGCTAACATGCGAAGTACCAGTTATGTGATTTATTGGTACTTGACTTTTATTTCACACGTTGCATGCTCGTAGTATCGTTTGCGCTTTAGTGAGGTGATAAACAGTGTGCGGATAGTTCATTTGTTTGAGGTGAGAGACTTTTTATTTCATAAGAAGTTACGAAAATAACAATAGAATAAAGCAATAAGCCCCAAGAAGCCGTGGTTTACGGTGAATTTATAACAGCTAAATAAGGGGAGTGCCTAAAACCCCTTGTTTAGCTGTTATAAATTCACTGTAAACCACGGCTTCACGGGGCTTATTGCTTTTATAAAACGGTTATTCCATATACGTAGTAAGGTTTCACAGAATAAAACTGAGCAAATAAAGTGTAATGATATAAATAAAAACACATAGAAGGTGTATGTTTGTAGTGTAAATTACTACAGCTTCGAACGCGGTTCAACCAATCAGAATCAAGGACCGGAACTATCCGTTTTATAATAATGACACTGACATTAAGCCTGACCGCAGATACTGAATCAGGACAGCGTGTTTTTCTCAGGCACTCTTTACTT